GTCGCTGTCGCTTCCCTTCAGTGGTAGTAGTAACCAATTGTTTCCTCTTCACCCTAGTGTAAGTTGTTGTCATGTAATACAAACTATGAAGATCTAACATATAAAAATATGTACGAGCAATCAAATTTCTTTACATTGTATTTGATTAAGAAGTAAATACACTCATCCACAAATGATCTTCAAACATAAATCACCGGTACCTACAAACCACCATTTATGGGATTAGCTTTGATTATAAATGGCATGGAACAACCATGAGATTAAATGAAACATCACTAAAGCTTATAACACACACCAACAATTAAAACGCATCCCCAAAATCAATCACATAAATACCAAATGTACAGATAAATTTTGTAGATACAATATCCCAAATATTTTGTAGATACATATTATATACACCTTGTAACCAAAAAGCAAACTATCACACTCTATTCGCAAAAAGTACAAAATGAGACCTAATAAAATGTAATCTATGGCATGTTTCATTCACTACATAGCACAAAGAAGTTAGAGAAACTAATTTATTGTTCTGGTAATCAACATTCATAAAAAAATGTGATGAAAAAATAGAATCAAAAGAGTCAGGTGTTCTTACAATGAGAAGTGATGTATGAGTTTTTTGGGTTGTCTTCTAACTATCCAACACGAAGAGATCAAGTCAAAGGGATTTTGTGGGTTTTTCAATGGCATTTTTTTGGGTATTTGGTGGGTTTTTTGTTGATTTTTTCGTGAGGAGGGATATTTGGGGTTTTTTGGCTAGGTTATTTGGTGGGATTTTTGGGGGTTGTTGCTGGATTTTTTTTGGGGTCTTCAAATGGGAAACAAGAGAGAGATGATGGACAGAATATGGATAAATACAGAGACATAGAGACATGAAGAAGTTGAAGAGAGCTTACCTTTGGTGCTTAATGAAGACAATGAATATGATGAAGACAACCAACACACCCATTGAACTGCTGTGGAGAAAGAGATGGAAGAGAGCGAAGGAAATAAAGAATGGGTTCTGAAAATGGCGGTTCTAAGAGAGAGAAATAGAGCCTCAGATGTGTTCGAAAATATCAGTTCTAAGAGAGAGAGAGAGAGAGAGATATAGAGAAGAAAATGTGTTCGAAAATGTCAATTCTAAGAAATGTATAGAAAGATAGATGTTTTTCACTTTTGGGGGAAAAAAAAGGGAGGTTGGGGGAATTGGGCGGGGAAATGGATGGCATTTTATATTTTATTTGAGTTTTGAACATGAGATTATTTAGGGTGTTTTGTTTGTTTTTTAAATTTCATAAATGGGGTGATAAATTTGCACAAGACAACTTAATTTATTATTGATTTTAAAATTTTAAATATAATATTACTATATTCCAACTAACATAAAATGTAATATAATTCATCCACAAAAAGAGAATTGGCACTAAATTAATTAGACTAATTGAATAAAAATTGAAACAAAATTGGAACCGTAACAAAATTAAGTGCGAACTAATCCAATGAGTATATATATTAAAACTAATTTGTTAATGGACTTACTAGTATGTGCAACACATGTACGACACGATCAAACGAAAAAAATCGACAAGAAATTTGTAGTGGGTTTTCATATGAGATCCTAACGAGTTTGGGCGATAAACATGTTAACCCATCAAACACATTTAATAAGCGGTGAAATTTGTAGGTGAGTCTTGCAACCCTTTTAATACTCGCCTTTCCATTTAATAAAATTAATATAATAATAAATTAATAATTACTATGAAAATTTTATCAAGGAATTTTTTTTTCTTTTTTTGTGGATGCCACCAAAAAATATATAAATAAAAATTGTAATTAGTGACACCCATAGGATTTACAACTATTATGAGTGTATTTGAACTTAGTTGTGGTAAATAGTTTACAAATCTGATGACAAGTCATACTGCCTTTATTGTAATATATTGCATATCAATAAAAGCTTTCTACCAAATCCCAGCCTGAATTTAATGGACCTCACCTACTTTTAATTACCATTTGGAACTTGGTTTTTAGTAATCATATGTAATTGAAACACCATACACCAACTCCATTAACACCTGCTTGCTTGAATATATACAATTGCATGAGAGGAGGGGAAATTCCACAGGTATGTCATACATGATACCCACTATTTTGAATGCCATATATTTTCAATACATTAGAATAATGTTTGATTATGTTTCCGTTTCAGTAATTCAATTATTTTTAAAGGTATGTCCAACAACAATTTTTCTCATTATTGTAACCCATAATTTTCAATATTTGCAAACAAAATATAATAATAATAATAATAATAAATTTGTATTTTAAATTTCACGCATAAAATGGCTCATAGTAGCTTTGAGAAAGGAAAACATGTCGTTATAGACTTGAATAAAGCACCTGAAGATAGTGATGTTTATAAGTTTGGCACATGTAATGGTGAATATGGGCATCGTCAAGATAAATCAACTTTGGCTATTGTGCAACCCCTCGAACTGGAAAAAACCTTACGAGACTTATCAGCTGAAGAAGTCCTCCACACGATGTTTAACTCGGAAGCTAAAGTGGGTAATTTTTATAACACATACGCTAAGTTTGTAGGTTTTAGCGTCAAGAAAGATGACTTAAAATATGAAAAAAATCACGTCCCGGTGTCAAGGTAGTGGGTATATTCGCGACAAGGGTTTNTAATACAAACTATGAAGATCTAACATATAAAAATATGTACGAGCAATCAAATTTCTTTACATTGTATTTGATTAAGAAGTAAATACACTCATCCACAAATGATCTTCAAACATAAATCACCGGTACCTACAAACCACCATTTATGGGATTAGCTTTGATTATAAATGGCATGGAACAACCATGAGATTAAATGAAACATCACTAAAGCTTATAACACACACCAACAATTAAAACGCATCCCCAAAATCAATCACATAAATACCAAATGTACAGATAAATTCTGTAGATACAATATCCCAAATATTTTGTAGATACATATTATATACACCTTGTAACCAAAAAGCAAACTATCACACTCTATTCGCAAAAAGTACAAAATGAGACCTAATAAAATGTAATCTATGGCATGTTTCATTCACTACATAGCACAAAGAAGTTAGAGAAACTAATTTATTGTTCTGGTAATCAACATTCATAAAAAAATGTGATGAAAAAATAGAATCAAAAGAGTCAGGTGTTCTTACAATGAGAAGTGATGTATGAGTTTTTTGGGTTGTCTTCTAACTATCCAACACGAAGAGATCAAGTCAAAGGGATTTTGTGGGTTTTTCAATGGCATTTTTTTGGGTATTTGGTGGGTTTTTTGTTGATTTTTTCGTGAGGAGGGATATTTGGGGTTTTTTGGCTAGGTTATTTGGTGGGATTTTTGGGGGTTGTTGCTGGATTTTTTTTGGGGTCTTCAAATGGGAAACAAGAGAGAGATGATGGACAGAATATGGATAAATACAGAGACATAGAGACATGAAGAAGTTGAAGAGAGCTTACCTTTGGTGCTTAATGAAGACAATGAATATGATGAAGACAACCAACACACCCATTGAACTGCTGTGGAGAAAGAGATGGAAGAGAGCGAAGGAAATAAAGAATGGGTTCTGAAAATGGCGGTTCTAAGAGAGAGAAATAGAGCCTCAGATGTGTTCGAAAATATCAGTTCTAAGAGAGAGAGAGAGAGAGAGATATAGAGAAGAAAATGTGTTCGAAAATGTCAATTCTAAGAAATGTATAGAAAGATAGATGTTTTTCACTTTTGGGGGAAAAAAAAGGGAGGTTGGGGGAATTGGGCGGGGAAATGGATGGCATTTTATATTTTATTTGAGTTTTGAACATGAGATTATTTAGGGTGTTTTGTTTGTTTTTTAAATTTCATAAATGGGGTGATAAATTTGCACAAGACAATTTAATTTATTATTGATTTTANTGTTTTGTTTGTTTTTTAAATTTCATAAATGGGGTGATAAATTTGCACAAGACAATTTAATTTATTATTGATTTTAAAATTTTAAATATAATATTACTATATTCCAACTAACATAAAATGTAATATAATTCATCCACAAAAAGAGAATTGGCACTAAATTAATTAGACTAATTGAATAAAAATTGAAACAAAATTGGAACCGTAACAAAATTAAGTGCGAACTAATCCAATGAGTATATATATTAAAACTAATTTGTTAATGGACTTACTAGTATGTGCAACACATGCACGACACGATCAAACGAAAAAAATCGACAAGAAATTTGTAGTGGGTTTTCATATGAGATCCTAACGAGTTTGGGCGATAAACATGTTAACCCATCAAACACATTTAATAAGCGGTGAAATTTGTAGGTGAGTCTTGCAACCCTTTTAATACTCGCCTTCCCATTTAATAAAATTAATATAATAATAAATTAATAATTACTATGAAAATTTTATCAAGGAATTTTTTTTTCTTTTTTTGTGGATGCCACCAAAAAATATATAAATAAAAATTGTAATTAGTGACACCCATAGGATTTACAACTATTATGAGTGTATTTGAACTTAGTTGTGGTAAATAGTTTACAAATCTGATGACAAGTCATACTGCCTTTATTGTAATATATTGCATATCAATAAAAGCTTTCTACCAAATCCCAGCCTGAATTTAATGGACCTCACCTACTTTTAATTACCATTTGGAACTTGGTTTTTAGTAATCATATGTAATTGAAACACCATACACCAACTCCATTAACACCTGCTTGCTTGAATATATACAACTGCATGAGAGGAGGGGAAATTCCACAGGTATGTCATACATGATACCCACTATTTTGAATGCCATATATTTTCAATACATTAGAATAATGTTTGATTATGTTTCCGTTTCAGTAATTCAATTATTTTTAAAGGTATGTCCAACAACAATTTTTCTCATTATTGTAACCCATAATTTTCAATATTTGCAAAAAAAATATAATAATAATAATAATAAATTTGTATTTTAAATTTCACGCATAAAATGGCTCATAGTAGCTTTGAGAAAGGAAAACATGTCGTTATAGACTTGAATAAAGCACCTGAAGATAGTGATGTTTATAAGTTTGGCACATGTAATGGTGAATATGGGCATCGTCAAGATAAATCAACTTTGGCTATTGTGCAACCCCTCGAACTGGAAAAAACCTTACGAGACTTATCAGCTGAAGAAGTCCTCCACACGATGTTTAACTCGGAAGCTAAAGCGGGTAATTTTTATAACACATACGCTAAGTTTGTAGGTTTTAGCGTCAAGAAAGATGACTTAAAACATGAAAAAAATCACGTCCCGGTGTCAAGGTAGTGGGTATATTCGCGACAAGGGTTTCGAGCTACAAAATACTTAGACAGAGATGACAGGGCACAGGAACCAAGGGAAATAACTCGAGTTGTTTGTTTGGCAGTATTCTGCGTTAAGCATGACAGTAAGTTGGGAAAATGGGTAGTAAAGGAGTTTGTGAATGATCATAATCATCTGTTGGTTCCATCGAATGGTGTGCCATTCTTTCGATCACACCGCTGTGTGAAAAGCCCAGGCCTAGAGGAAGCAACAACACTTCATAGTGTTGGAATATGCACTAGCCAAATACGAGATTTTATGTTGCATCAAGCTGGAAGCTACCAAAATGGTTGGCTTACATGAAAGGATTTGTACAACTCTATTGCAAGCCAAAGAAGAGATGAAATGATCGATGGGGATGTTGAAGGTGCACTAGCATACTTAGGAGCGAAAGAGGGGTTAGACCCATTATTTTATTTCAAGTACAACGTTGATGATGATAATTCATTGAATTGCCTCTTTTNTGTTGGCTTACATGAAAGGATTTGTACAACTCTGTTGCAAGCCAAAGAAGAGATGAAATGATCGATGGGGATGTTGAAGGTGCACTAGCATACTTAGGAGCGAAAGAGGAGTTAGACTCATTATTTTATTTCAAGTACAACGTTGATGATGATAATTCATTGAATTGCCTCTTTTGGGTGGATTCAACTTCCTGTGTTGACTTTTTATGTTTTGGTATTCGATACAACATACTGTACCAATGCGTATAAAAAGCGATTTGTCGTACTTCTAGGTGTAAACAACCACAACGCTACTTGCATTTTTGGATGTGCATTACTTTCATATGAGACCGTGGACACATATGTGNGCTGCACCAATGCGTACAAAAAGCGATTTGTCGTACTTCCAGGTGTAAACAACCACAACGCTACTTGCATTTTTGGATGTACATTACTTTCATATGAGACCGTGGACACATATGTGTGGGTGTTGGAGACATTTCTTGATGCAATGGATAATAAAAAGCCTATATTAGTTGTCACCGATGGGGACAAGGCCATGGCCGCCGCAATTGAAAAAACTTTTCCACATGCAAAATACAGACTATGTAGTTGGCATTTGGAGAGAAATGCACTTCAAAATATTCATGCTGAAAATTTTCTTCGCGAGTTCAAGAAATGTATGTGCTCCTGATGTACACCTGGGGAATTTGACGTTATGTGGGAATCAATGGTACATTCATTTGGGCTGGAGGATAACAATTGGATATCAGATGTGTACACAAAGTGTTGGAAATGGGCTGAAGCATTCTTGCGGGGTCATTTCTTTAGCGGCATCAAAAGCACGCAACGCTCAAAAAGCTTGAATGGTTACTTGAATCGTTTCCCAAAAACAAGATTTCGTTTGTATGAGTTTGTTAGACAGTATGAGAGGGGTGTATCAAGAATCCGAGAGACCAAAGTGTGGGATCATATAAAGGTCGAAGGACCCTTCTTTGTGGTCGAAAAAATTTAGCACAATAGTCATTCGAGTTATTATCTGTCAAAGTACACAAAACCAACATCTAGTTGGAATGTGATATATGATTATCAAAATCACNTAGGGGTGTATCAAGAATCCGAGAGACCAAAGTGTGGGATCATATAAAGGTCGAAGGACCCTTCTTTGTGGTCCAAAAAATTTAGCACAATAGTCATTTGAGTTATTATCTGTCAAAGTACACAAAACCAACATCTAGTTGGAATGTGATATATGATTATCAAAATCACACCATCAAATGCAATTGCCTAAAATTACAATCTGTTGGACTTCCTTGCTAACACATCATTACAGTTTTGAAAACTGAACACATAATGGAGTTCCCTCCTAGTACTATTCTAAAGTAATGGACAATTACTGCAAAATCAGACCTTTGTGCCTCCAACGTCAAGAACCTTATCAATTTCTTGCCGATATGCTGGATTAATGTCAATGTGTAGTTAGATGTGTTACTACGCAACATAATTTCCTAAGGACTCACAGAAGCTTAGAATAATAACTGCAGTAACCAATCGCATGAGACAACGTCATGATACATGCGAGGCAAGACAAGTGTCAGCATCACATAACAAAGATAATGACANTAATGGACAATTACTGCAAAATCAGACCTTTGTGCCTCCAACGTCAAGAACCTTATCAATTTCTTGCCGATATGTTGGATTAATGTCAATGTGTAGTTAGATGTGTTACTACGCAACATAATTTCCTAAGGACTCACAGGAGCTTAGAATAATAACTGCAGTAACCAATCGCATAAGACAATGTCATGATACATGCGAGGCAAGACAAGTGTCAGCATCACATAACAAAGATAATGACACTGTGCTGAACATAAATTTTAGTGTCGTCGATCCCAAGACAGTGAAAACTAAACGTAATCCGGGACATGTACAAAACAACCTACCAATAGCTCCGTGATGATGTAGTAAATGTCATGGCACTGGACATACTATTTGAAAGTGTCCGCGGCTTACGTGCCATGTAGACAACCCACATGATGACATGCCCTTCTCACAACCTGGTGGCTCCCAACATCCCATGCCATCAACTCAAGAAGACGACCATTGGAATCCTACTTACAATTACAATGTTATCTGATATCAGGTTTCATACACTATCACCTTTTAAATACTTTGGGAAATTCAGTACATACCAACATGGTTTTGATATCCATTTTTATTTTTTTAACAGCAAGTGATCCCTGCCTTTGATTCAAATGTGCACGGGCAGTAGATTAATACTTCTTTAAACATTTTGGAGGTTAGTACGACTACATGTGCTTTGTCATTGCCTTTAGTTATTTGGTACAAACTATTCCATGATTTAATTAGCAATTGCACTGAATATTTCTTGCAGGGTTAACATGTACACATTTAGCCATTGGAATATTATGGGATAATCACCCTTTTGCTCTACGGCAGCTGACAACACAATGCAGTTTTCTTAAGTTGCATGGAAGGTTCAACTTCACTAAGTTGTCTTTCCTGTATACATCACAAGGAGCTCAAAATATAATTTTGAGATAAAGCTCAGGAGATTAATAATAAATTTTTAGTGGACTAACTTATTATTAATGGATTGTAGAATATTTGTTCTAGGTTGAACATAAGAATTCTAGGCCCATTGGAAGCCTGACCCTTATTTCTCCTTAAGGTTTCTATCGTAGCATTTATATAGACGTTTAGGCTCTCTATATCATCATCAACTTCATTACTCACGTTTTGNGGAATTCTAGGCCCATTGGAAGCCTGACCCTTATTTCTCCTTAAGGTTTCTATCTTAGCATTTATATAGACGTTTAGGCTCTCTATATCATCATCAACTTCATTACTCACGTTTTGAGAGAGGCTGAGAGAGAGAGAGAGAGAGCAAAAATTCAAAGGTTTTTGTAGCCCACACTACATCCGAATTTTGACATTTGGCAACTTCGAAGGATTAGTGAAATCAGTAGAAAACTTATCCTGAACTGCCTGATTTGCCAGCTTATCAACAACCATGTTTGCCTTTCTATACACATGCCTTATCTCAAAATCAGCTTGTCCCCTTAATCTGACCCGGGTGTCTTAAGAAAGGCCATGCACATTCACACTTGCCCATCATAAGCCATGTACACTCAGCAGTCATGTTGGTGCATACCTCATAAAAGAAAGAAACAACTAGCACAACTCCACCCTAATCATTTCTCATAACAACACCCCCACCTACACCCCAGGATTCCCTTTAGAAGCTCCATCTGTATTCAATTTAAGTACCTCAAAAGGAGGACATACCCAGTTAACCCATACACACCTACTCACAATAGGAATCCCCAACTTTGAGATATTAGAGTCCAAAGGAAGAGCTTATCTTAGAATTCTCCAACCTACTAATTGTGCACTAGGAGCTGTCCTAGATCCCCAAATAATAGAGGCATCCCCACTTTCATCCCCATGTTGTCTAACAGCATGGGGATGAAAGTCTTCTACCATGCTGGCTTAACAGAGAACAAACCAGAGCAAGTCTTCTACCACACAAGCCTGTCAGGAGCCTTAATCAGACAAATCCATGAATTCAATAGCTCATCCTTCAACTAATTATTCAGCAATCCCTCTACCTCACACAACAAGTAATTTGTTCATTACCAATTTTCATCTACAAAAAATTCCCAATATATCCCAAACATGAATTTCAACATTCACTAACATATAAATTCACTAACCATTCACACAATGCTATATCCTATATAACCATTCATTAACAATTCTACATAACATATAAATTTCAACCCAACAATATATTCAACACACACACACTCACACATAGACTCAACACACACATCGACACAGAACATCCAAAAACACATAGAATGGAATTTTTTTAGGGGAAAAGGCAAAAAAGATGGGGGTCAGTGATGGATCTCCACATAGAACACACCTACATGCNCATTACCAATTTTCATCTACAAAAAATTCCCAATATATCCCACACATGAATTTCAACATTCACTAACCATTCACACAATGCTATATCCTATATAACCATTCATTAACAATTCTACATAACATATAAATTTCAACCCAACAATATATTCAACACACACACACACACACACACATAGACTCAACACACACATCGACACAGAACATCCAAAAACACATAGAATGGAATTTTTTTAGGGGAAAAGGCAAAAAAGATGGGGGTCAGTGATGGATCTCCACATAGAACACACCTACATGCACTCACAGTCAAACCCACAGATTTGACCTATTCAATGCCAGAGAGATCGATGGAGATTTTGGGTTCTGGGTTCAAAGCATCGAGAAGCATAGATTCATCATCTTCTTCAAGTGCGTTTGTTCTTCAGCCTTCTTCGTCTTCCAGAACGAAGAGATGAGAGATGTGTGA